TTTTGTATAAACTTCCACTCAGCTGAAAGCAAGGGATGAAAACAGGTTTTAGAGTGCACTGAGCACTAAAATATCCTCCTAGGCTACCTGGGGCTCTGTGTTCAAACTGGACACCTGGCATCTCCTGAGGGACTTTTTGAGACCCACCTCTGTGTACTGCTCCAGTTTGCTGCTGTTGCTGGGGATGGAGTTCACCAGGCAGTTCTGAATGAGGCAGTTGGAGAGCTCTTCCCAGATCAGCTCCCCCAGCAGCTCCGCCAGCGTGACTCTGCCATCCTTCCTGTCCTCCCCAGGCTGCTCAAGAGGCACATCTGGATTCCAGAGAAGACAAATGGATCTTAATACACCTGTTTCCTGGACCAGACCCTTCACCAGTTCAAAAGACTTTCCTCTTGCATTTCCCTCACATGTAATATTGATTAACCACCAGATATTCTGGAAACTTCTGCTCCAATTACACGGACAAGGTACTGATCATCGACTAATTACAAAAGGGAGAAGCTACCTACTTAGCAGGTATTTGTGGAGAACTTCAAAAATAAGCTTGATCTTGTCAAAAACCTCCATGGGAGAGGACTGATCCAAGGCAGGCTCCTCGGATTTAAACCTCAGGATGAGCACGTCTGGCCGCTCCTCGGTGAGTGGCTGCAGGGATGGGTATGAAATCACAGGCTTGAGGATGTATTTCAGCAACAGCTGGCCTGAGAAAATGAAAAAAAAATATGTTTTCCAGTGGCAGAAGGCAGGTAGTTTGCTACAGTGAGGTCCAGCCCTGGATACTTTGGATGTAGAGACCCTGCATGAAGTGGAAGAAACAATCTCTTGATCAACTGTATCAGGGAGCAGCTAATGAGGTAAAACTCTTCAAGCATTAGACTATGAAACCACACAGTCACAAATTAAAAGCATACTGAATAGTCAGGAAAGGACAAATAATTCCAGGTAAATAATAGGATAAATATTTTCCTATTAATAAGAATCACAGCATTCACTTCAGTCATGGGGAAAAACCAGCCAGGAGAGAAAGATTTTCCAGAAAGATCCGTCCCCAAGTCTGAACCCCTGTCCCCATGGGCTACTGGGGCTGTGTTTGTCTGGTCTGTCTTACCAAAAGCTTTCAGCCTGGTGTGCAGCTCTCCCAGGACAGCCAAGGCCTGGAGCACGGACGCCACAGGTGGGCCAGCAACCTCCTCCTCCTTGGATGGCATCGTGTGTAAGTGCAGCTCTGAGTGCACCACCGCCTCCAGGCTGCTTTCTAAACACAAAGAGCTCTGTCAGAATGGGATATGAGAAGCTGCTCAGTCCTCAGGTGGCAGCTGAAGCAGCGTTCAGAGACAAAGAGCTCATTACACCACCGTACTCCAACAGTTCTAGTGCATTTCCCATCTTGTGGGTGCCTGGAAACAGGCATTTCAAACAGTGCAGCAAAACGAGTGAGACAAAGCAGAACCGTGAGCACCTTTGGAAGGAGGGAGCTGCCACACAATGAGTTTCTGCCACTCTTCCCCCAGGTGGCAGAGCATGTTCTGTGTCTGCACCGTGAGCTCCGTGCCGAGCGCCCTCAGGATCTTCAGCTCGAAGCCCTTGCGGGATTCCAGGTTCCTGAGGCTGCCTCGTGCCTGGTGGGGAGGGTCAGACACACAACACTGGTCAGTGCTGCCCCTGTGAAGGAACTGATGCAGTTTATGCTCAGGAGGTCACTATCACCTTTTCCAGCTGCTGAGCTGCTGCAACGTACTTCTTCTCCAGCAGTGCAGTCTTGTGCTCTTTGATGGCTCTGTCGAACTGCAACAGAACGATGTCGAAGCCCAGAATGATGTCTCAGACTGAGGAGTGTGATTTTAAGCTGCCCCCCTCCCTCCCCTCCTCACCTCCTGCAGCTTTTTCAGCACACTCAGGACCAGCGTGTCCCGCTCCAGCTGCTGCTTCAGCTCCGTGAATTCAGCAACAGCCACATTGAGATCTCGCTGGACCTAAAATAACAAATTTTTCAGTTCACTGCAGCAGTTGTTATCAGGTACATTTCCTCTTACACATGAGATTTAGAGTATTTCTGTTACTAGAATGATTTGGTGAAGAGGAAAATGGCTCCATCTATTTTACTCCCCATAAGCACTTATAGGATGGGTTTTTCTTTTAATACATAAGAGTTGTAGAATGGGTTGGAAGGGCCCTTAAAGATCATCCAGTTCCTACTAGACTGCAGTTTTTTTAAAGGCACTGTAAGGAAATTCAGTCTTAAAATGCAGTTAAAATTACTTTAGTTTTTCCTCAGCACAGCCATATAAAATACAAGGATGCTTGAACTGAGCCAACAGTCAATTCTTAGTGAACACCACCGCAGAACTCCAGATGCTGGGACATCAGAGGCAATAATCAGAGTGTGAGCCTTCAACCTGACCTGCAGGAGCTGCTCATGTTCTGCTTCAGACCTCATTGGATGTGCACAGGTACGATTTGAGTTCCTGCTCTGCTCTAAACCACTGTGGGACCAACATGGGTCAGTCTGTGTGTCACACCCCCTGCAACAGCCAGGGCTGGGCCTTCTCTGGGAGGGACACTGTGACACACCTTCCCACCTGCACAGCAACAGGACAATCCCTTAATGACAGCTCTTAACTTGCACCCTGCTGTCACATACACCTGTGTCACCTCTAGACATTCCTTAGGGGTGGTGTCACTTAGTCAAGTGTCACAGAATCATGGAATACCCTGGGTGGAAAGGGACCCACAAGGATCATCGAGTCCAACTCCAGGCCCTGCCACCCACCCCAAAATCCCACCCCTGTGCCTGAGAGGGTTGTCCAAACACTCCTTGAGCTCTGGCAGCCTTGGGGCTGTGACCTCCTCCCCCCGTCCCCTCCATGATAGGGCGGGGGCTGCAGATTTGGGGTGAAGCTGTGTGGAATCCCCCCCTGCAGTCACCTCGTTCTCGATGCTCGCCCTGAGCAGGTCGATGTTGCTGGACAGCCTATCCACCTGTGCCACCAGCTCCTCTGCACTCTGCATGCTGGGCAGGAACTCACTGTACTTCTTGTTTATCATGTTGCAGACTTCTCCCTGGAGAGAGGGAGCAGGGGAACAGCGTCAGCACGGGGAGAAAGGACCGAGGTGAGAGATGGGGGTACCCCGGGATGAACCAGGGCTGGACACCCTGATCTGACTGACCAGGCTGTGCAGCTGGTCCAGCCCAGGGTTGGGGCACTCCGGGATGAACCAGGGCTGGACACCCCAGTCTGACCCAGGGCTGGGACAGAATCCCAGAATTGTTGGGGGTGGAAGGGGCCTCTGGAGCTCTCCCAGCCCAACCCCTCTGCCAAGGACAGGGTCAGCCAGAGCGAGTGACACAGGAAAGCGACTGGGTGGAGTTGGGGTTTGGAATGTCTCCGGAGGGAGAGACTCCGGGACAGAGAGGGGCATCTCGGACTGACCCAGGGCTGGACAGCTGGGCTGACCTAGAACTGGGCACCCTGATCGGACTGACCAGGGCTGGACACTGCAGGCTGACCCAGGGCTAGGGGGGCACCCTGGACCCACCCAAGGCTGGATACCCTCATCTGACTGACCCAGGGCTGG